TGGATGGACAAAGACAGATCGTCGGAGCTCTGGGCTTGGCGCTGCCCCCGCTGTCGCCGCGACGCCCGGCGGCGGCGGCGCGGCGCCCGCGGCGGACCCCTCCGGCGGGCAGGCGGTGCGCAGCGGCGCCCAGCGCGGCGGGCGGCGGAGGGCAGGCGGCCGCAGGGGCCGGCCGCAGACGGCAAGCGGCGCGGCAGCCGCGGAGGCCGCGGCGGCGGGCAGCGGCCCGCGGCGGCGGGAGGCGCCTGCGGCGGGCACCCGGGGTCGCCAGGGTACAGGCTCAGCGGCGGGGAGGGCACCTCGAGGAGGGGCCGAGGGTCGAGGCGGAGGGGCCGAGGATTGCGCAGGAGGAGGAGGAGGAAGGAGAAAGCGGAGGAGGAAGAGGAGGGGGAGGGGTCGAGGAGGAGGAGGAGGAGGAACAAGGGCTGAGGAGAAGGTGGAGGTGGAGGTGGAGGTGGAAGGTGGAGGAGGTGGAGGAGGAGGAGGAGGAGGAGGAGGGGAGGAGGAAGGAGGAGGAGGAGGAGGGAGAGAAGGGGAGGAGGAAGAGGAGGAGAGAGAAGGAGGAGGAAGAGAGGAGGAGAAGAGGAGGAGAGGAGGAGGAGGAGAAGGAGGAGGAGGGGGAGAGAAGGAGGAGGAAGAGGAGGAGGAGGAGACGTCGAGGAGGAGGAGGAGCAAGAGCAGGAGGAGGAGGGGTCAAGGATCGACGGGGAAGATGAGGAGGACGAGGAGGGGTCGTGGAGGAGGGAAAGGAGGGGTCGAGGATCGAGGAAGAGTTGTAGGAGGGGGTCGAGGAGGAGGCACCTCGCCGCGGCCCCGCGTCTCGGCCGCCTGTTCGACCGCCTGGGCGTCTCCGGCGCCCCGCGCGCGCGCAGGCAGCTCTTGCGAGAGAAGAACGGGGGCGGGAGGAGGTGCGGAAGGGATCGGTCAAGGAAGAAGGGTCGGTGATCAAGAGGAGGAGCGAGGAGACAGAGGAGGAGGAGGAGGAAAGGTCGAGGACCGATGAGGGGTCGAGAATCGACGAAGATGGGTCGAGGAGGAGGAGTCGAGAACCGAGGGGTCGAGAATCGAGGAGGGGGGTCGAGGAGCAGGGGCAAGAGGAGAGCTCTGACCATGGAAGACGCAGTCTGCAGCCTTGCTCTGCAAAGGAAGGATCGGGGATCGAGGATAAAGGATTGGATATCGTCATATAAATATATATATATATATATATATATATATATACATATATATATATCCTGCTTTCTGTGTCTTTGTGCAGCCGCGTCGTGGCCACAGCTGGATCCGCCACAGAAGTCTGGTCGGCACGCATTCCAAGACATGTCCACGGGCTGTTCCTCGACCCTGGGACCCACACACACGACCGCGTCATGAAAAAACGGAGGGGGCCTTGATAATGTTCGGCCCCCGGAAACCCCTACCGAGCCCAAAGACCGCGTGGCAATATTGTTATGGCTCGAGATTTATATGAAGATGGGTCGAAGGCCCCAGGGCTCAGGCATGAAGAGAAGATCATCATCTTTCCCCTTCTCCTGGTGATCATCATCATCATCATCATCATCATCATCATCATCATCATCATCATCATCATCATCATCATCATCATCATCATCATCATCATCATCATCATCCTGAACCTCCACCTCCTCCTCCTCCTCCTCAGCCATCATTCCTCTCCCTCCTCCTCGACCTTTTCCCCCTCCTCCTCTTCGCCCTCCTCATCATCACCCTCCTTTTCCTCCTCATCATCATGGGCAGCATCAGCACCACCATCATCATCACCATCTTGAAACGCTGGGGGCCAGTCGAAGCTTCTGACAAACGCAATTTCGTTTTCCAGCTGTCGCAGCCTCACTGCGTTGCGGAACACGCTGGGCGCAAACAGAAGCTCTGCCAAACTTGGCGGCCTTTTTACTAGTAACCAGCAGACTGTCCGCCCCCTGATTTCGCCATCTTATTCCACCGATTTGGCCAGAAGCTCCCGGGCTGAATGCGCCTCGTCCCAGGCAGTAGACGCCAGCCGAGGGAACAACGTAGCTACTGCTGCCAAGGAAACAATTAAATCCGCCCCGACGCTGCGCCATGCCCGAATCTCCTCTCGAACACGCCCGTGCAATTCCACGCCCAGTTCGCCGCCTGCAGCCTGGTACGCGCGGCGGACGCAGTCCTCTAACGCGGGGGCCCTGCCGTCGCAATCCATGGCCCGGGGGAATTCCCGCGCCCCGATCGACCGTTCCACGATCCAGGGCCCTTCGGGGCCCAGCTCTTCCAATCAACCTGCCATTCCACCGTAGCTGGGGAGAAAATCGATAACCTTTGGCAGCGACCACAGCACCGCGCCAACTTCGACTTGGCACGCGCGGTCGAGACCGCCCGCGCTCGAACTAAACACAACACCCTCTTTGAGAATCCTCTGCGCCACGAGCTTCTCGAACTGAGCCACTGTGGACACCATCCAGCGGCGCTGCAGAGAAGACTCCGAACCTGCGCGCCCTTCCCCGAGGAGCGCCCCCCGCCACGAATCGAAGCTCCGAAAAGAACTTGACGTCTCAAAAAATGCACGGGCGGCGACCCGGGCGCGGGCCGGCCGCGCGGACGACGACGGGCGCTTGCGCCGCTGGCGCTGCAGCCGTTGCAGCTGTTGCAGTTGCTGCGGCTGTTGCAGCTGGAGCGGCTGTTGCAGATGCGGGGAAAAAGGAAACGGGGAGACCCTGGCGCGAGACTTCAGCTCGAAGCCGCTCTTTGAAGGCCGCTTCTGCTGCCCGGCGTTCCTGGTTCTCGGCGTGGCGCAGGAGGTTTGCGCGACGGCGGGAACTCCCGATGCATTGACCCGAGGCGGAGCAGCACCGAGGCAGCCACAGAGAAAGAGACTTTCCATTGAAACCTGTGTTTCTCAAAGCAGCAAGCGCTGCGCGTCCTGACGTGCATTGGGAAGTTGTGAATGGCGACGTGATCCTCCAGTGTCATGGAACCAGAATCGAAATTCTCGACGACTTTGCTCGGGGAGGCGTTCGCTGTTGCAGCCACGGCCGACTCTGGACTGCAGCCGCGGTCAGCAGAACCTGACAGCCCTGAGCAGCCGAACCGTCTGGCTCCGACGCCGAGGACACTACGTCGGCGTCGGCGTCCGACTGCGCGCTGGCTTCCGAAATCGCCCCTGATTCGGAAGCGCCGACGTCGGGCTCGCGGAGCCCCTCGGAAACGGGACTCGGTGTTTCAGCCGAGGGACGCGGAAACGCTAGGCGATGCGGCCTGACGGAGGAGGAAGAGGACGATTGAAGGACGTAGGGACAAGAAGTAGGAAGATAATGATGATGATGATGATGATGATGATGATGATGATGATGATGATGATGATGATGATGATGATGATGATGATGATGATGATGAGGGGCGGAAGAAAATGATTTAGGATTGTCACCATCATCACCATCACCATCAGCATCATCACCATCAGCATCCTCACCTTCATCACAACCACCCTCATCATCTCCATCCAGACTGGGGCAACTCAATTTGCTCACTACAAACCCACGTCTATATCATCATCATCATCCTCATGTTCATATTCATATCCATACCCATCATCACCATCATCAGCAGCATGAGCATCATCGTCATCATCATCACCATCATCATCATCATCATCACCACCACCACCACCATCATCATCATCATCATCATCATCATCATCATCATCAGAGCGCCTCGGAGTGCCAAGGCTAAACTCTCGAGAAATCCCAAGATGCCTCAAGATGGCTCCCAAGCTGCTCCAAGAGGCCCCAAGACCGCTCCAAGACGATTCCAAGTGACCAAAAAAGCTCCCCAAGGAGGCCCCGAAGAGGCCCAAATCCTCCCAACACCTGTGGAAAATCCATGTGTTTTGCTTTCTCGATGGCCTTCCGAGGCCTCAAGATGGCCCGAAGAGGGCCCAAGAGGGCCCCAAAAGGGGCCTAAGAGATCCCCGAGACGGTCCCGAGAGCGCCCAAGAGCGCTCCAAGAGCGCCCCAAGAGTGGCCAAGGAGGCGAGTTTAGGCACTGTAGAATGGCGAAGCTAATCAAGGGAAGGCGCGCCGCTGGATCTCCCCAGGGGGGGGGGCCCCCCTTTCCCCGATCCGTCGTAGGGGAACCCCCCAGCCTCCCCCTCCTTCCCGGTCCGCCATCGGGGAAACCCCACCCCCCCGCCCTCCCCCCCTTTCCCGGTCCGTCGTCGGGGACCCCCCCCTCCCCCCCTTTCAACAGGGGGGTGGGGTCCGAACACCCCCCCTCCCACCCTGTGGCCGCCAAATTCGAACCCCTACCCCCTCTCCCCCTTTCGCCACGGCGCCCCCTGGCACCGGAACCCGATCTTGCCACCCCTGACACTAATCCTCACCCTTACCCTAAACCCTAACCTTAACCCCAAGCCCTAACCCTAGCCCCAAACAGCACTCACCACTCAGTACTCACGACCCACTGCCCACTACTCACTACTCACTATTCATTACTCAGTCCTCACTACTCATTACTCACTACTCACGACTCACTACTCACTACCCACTACTAACTACCCACTACCCACTTCTCAATACTCACTACTCACTACTCCCTACTCGCTACTCCCAAATCCCTACCCACTACTCCCTACTCACTACTCGATACTCACTACTCACTAAAACACTATTCCCTACCCACTACCCACTAACCATTACCCACTACTCACTACCCACTAACCATTATCCACAACTCACTACTCACTACGCACTACTCACGGCTCACTACCCACTTATGATTACTCTCTACTCGCTACTCCCTACTCACTACACACTACTCACTACCCATTGCTCACGACTCACTACTCCCAACCACTACTGCATATCCACCGCTCGCTACTCGCAGCTCCCTACTCCCTACACAGTACTCACTACTCACTACTCACTATTCACTACTCGCTATTCCCTACTCGCTACTCGCTACCCGATACGCACTATTCACTACCCACTACTCAAAACTCACTGTCCACTACTCACTACTCACGACTCTCTACTCCCTACCCACTAGTCACCAGCCACTACTCACTACTACCCACTACTCACTCCGCACTACTCACGGCTCACTACTCACTTTTCACTACTCTCTACTCGCTACTCCCTACTCACTACACACTACTCAATACCCACTTCTCGCCACTCACTACTCCCTACTCACAACTCTCTCACTACTCACTAACCGCTACTCCCACTTCGCTACTCACTACTTCCTCATCACTACTCACTACTGTCTACTCCCTCCTCACTATTCACTACTCACAACGCCCTACTCGATGATCACTACTCAGTCCTCGCTACTCCATACTCGCTACTCACTACTCAGTACCCACCCCCACTCACTCACGATTCACGATTCACTAGTCACTACTCACTACTCACAACGCCCTACTCGCTACGCACGACTCACTACTCGCTACCCCCTACTCGCTACTCACTACTCACTACCCACTCACTACTACCGACTACTCACTACTCACTACTCACTAGCCACTACTCGCTACGCACTACTCACTACTCACTACTCACTCCAGCGCCAAGGGGGCGAGGGGGGGGTCCGGACCCCCCCCCGCCCCTTCAAGGGGGGGAGGGAGGGGTTCGGATCCACCCCCCTCAGGGGGGGAGAGGAGGGGGGGTCAAAAATCTCACCCCACCTTTGAAGGGAGGGAGGCTGGGGGGGGCTCCACGAGCACCCCCCCCCTTTTAAATTACGGGGTGATCCAGTGGCGCGCTTTCTAATGAAGAACACCCCCTTTTTGATCGAAGTCCTCCAAGGTGGCCCGACGAGCGCTCCCAATGCACCCAAAAGCGCTCCAAGAGGGCCCCGAGAGGCGCCCAGACGGCCCCAAAAGGCGCCCAAGATGCCTCCAACAGGCTCCCAAGAAGCCCCCAAGAGGCTCAAGAGGATCCCCGGAGCACCCAAGATGCCTCCAAGACGTTCCAAGAAGCCTCAAAAAAAAACTCCCGAGAGACATCGGAGGAGGCTCTTGTTTTCGATTTGCTGTCCTCCTCATCATCATCATCATCAGCACCCTCATCATCACCATCATCATCATCATCACCATCACCACCATCATCATGATCATGATCATCATCATCATCATCATCATCATCATCATCATCATCATCATCATCATCATCATCAGCATCATCATCATCATCACCACCATCATCATCAGCAGCAGCAGCAATATCCTTATCCGCCTACTCCCCCTCCTCCCTCCTCTCCCTCCCCGCCACGGGCGGCTTCCCCCGCCCTTTGTTATTCTGCATGCTCCCCCTCTTCCCAGATCACCTCAACTCCCCTGGGAATCGTTTCTGGATGGGCTGGAGGGGATACTTTTTTGGTCAGCGGCCACGAGACAAGGGTCAAGCGGCGACGGCAACGCCCGGGCCACGAACGAAGCTAATTCGCTACAACAGGCACGGCCGGCCCGCTCACAAAGCAGCCGCGAAGCTGAAGGGGAGCTGACGGCAGGGGTGTCCTGAGAGCTCGAGCACGTGCACAGACAAAATGTAATGGAATTCGGTGCCTGCCACAGTATGAGACGTGAAGCAAGATAACCAAGTCCGTCAATCTAAGCAGGGGCAAGTGCGAGGCCGGTGGAGTGAGTCGCCGGCGGGGCGCCAGGCTCCAAACGCCCTGGACGACGTGTGCTAGCTAGGGGGGCTGAGCTATCGCGGGACGTGGTGCAACGCAGTCTGCCGGAAGCTGGTGGTGAGCCTGGGGCGCTGTAGCTGCTGCGGAACCGCGGCGATACCACCGACCGTCAGACCACCCCACAGTGCCAGGGGAACCATGCGACTGTGGGCCACGCAGTGCGTGCTGGCACGGCGTCAGGCCTCAGAGCGAGGGGAGGAAGACCAGCTGGCGCGGTGAGCATCGCCAGCGGAGAGAGTAGGGGGGGGGCGGCACTTGCAGTAGTGCTGCTTTCTGGAGGGCGCCAAACTGAACCGGGGACGAGCGCATCCCCAAGTGAACAGACCTGGTTGCACCTCCCGAGGCACGCGGCGTCTGCGCGAGCAAGGCGCGCCGATGCCCTTAGGCGAGTGGCGCCTGTGCGAGGGGGCGAGCCGATGTCATAGGGCGATGCGCCCGGGGGAGCTGCGCTGCGGTAGACACGAGGGCCAGGGGGCAAAGTCTGACCCAGTCCGCCGCTCGGCACTTCCGCCCAAGACCCGGGGAACGCCAGCACACGCCGCGCGGCCCTCCAGGACCGCAGCTAGCCGCCGCTGAGAGTAATGAGCCAGACAACGGGCAGCGAGGAACACGGGCGGCCCTGGCAGGGGGGGCAACCACACCGACGTCTATAGCACGTCAGGCGGGCCCCGGGGCCAAGGGCGGGGGACACCCGCCTGGCCCCAGAGGGGGGGGGCGAGGGGAAGCAACGCTTCTCCCCTCAGCCTGGCCCCGAATCCGTGGGACAGGGGCCATGGTCATTCTCGGAGGTCGCAGCTGATCGCCGCTATGATCTCTCTTCCATTTCCTCGGGGGTCGCAGCTGATCGCCGCTATGATCTCTATTTGATGGTTGGTGTCTCCGATTGTTGGTCCTCCATGGTCGCAGCAAACCGCCGCTGATATGATTCTGCAGTGTGACAAGACAGCGGGGGTGGTTGGTCCTCGGGGGTCACAGCTGATCGCCGCATGAATCTGTATTTGAAAGAGAGGTGACCAGGCAAGGTCGCGCTCACCGCCAGGCAGACGGGGGGGGGGCCGAGGCCCACTTCCTGCCCCAGGGCTGGAAGTGGGCCACAGCATCCCCCCCGCCTGCCTGGCGGCACAGCGCCTGCTGCCATTGTCCGCCCTTCACGCACACTCTGATCCCACTGCTGTAACTGATCACGTCGGACTCCAACGCCGCCTGCCGCATTTTGCTGGGCAGCGACAGGGCCTGCTGCCAGTGTCCACCCTCTCGCGCTGGATCCCAGCGCTGCGACTGATGAGGGAGGGTCCAACTTAGCCCCCCACATTCCGGCAACGGCGCCGGAGCACGTTGCCACCCCCGTCTGTCACACTGATTCCAGCGTCGAAGCGGACAACGCTGCGCTCCAACTCAACCTCTGACACCCACTGAGCAGCGACAGTGCGAGTTGCCATTGCTCACCCCTGGCGCACGCGCTGCCCCCAGCGCCGTAGCTCACAACGTCCAGCTCGCACCTCGCACCTCGTGCGCGACGCCTCCGCAGCCCCCCGCATGGACCCAGGGGCGCGGCAAACGCCGAGCGTGAACGGGGGGTGGACGGGGGGCGGCGCGCCCTGGGCGGAGCGAAGACGGAGCAAGCACGGGGGGGGGGGCGAGTGATGGCCCTTGGCCGCCAGCACCGGGACGCAAGAGTACCTCGAGCCCCCGCGGAAGGCCCCGGGCCCGTAACCTCGGCAGCCCCCCGCGCGCATCCAGGGTCGCGTGGCCCTCCAGGGTCGCCGCTAAACGCCGCTGATGTTTGTGAGCCTGTAGAATGACAAACCGCTGCTGAAGCGCACAGGGGGGGGGGGGGGGCGCGCCTGCAGCCCCAGCTGCCCCCCGCGTGGACCCAGGGTCGCGGCACGCCGCCGCTCTGGGTTGGGCGGGGCGGAGCACCCACGGGGGGAGGCGGCAGGCGGCCCTTGTCAGACCACACTGGGACACAAGAGTACCCTGAGTTCCCGCGGGGCGCCCACGGGGGGAGGCGGAAGACGGCCTGGCGGACGGCACCGGGATGCCAGAGTACCTCGAGCTCCCGCGGGAGGCCAGCTGGAGGGGCCCAGAGTGGGCAGCCAGCCCCGCAGAGGGCTGGACGGGGCACCCAGGGGCGCAGCAAGCCGCCGCCGAGGAGAGTGATGCCGAACGGCCGATCCCCCACTGCTGGCGCGGCCCAACGTGGGCAGGCAGCAGCCAATGGACTGACACGCAGGGGGCGGCGCTGTCACCCCGAAGCCCGACGCATCCATGGGGGGGCGTGGTGTGGTGGACCCCCAAGGAGCCGCTGACCGCGGCGAAGAATGGGGGGAGGTGCCGCGCCCGTAGTCTCAGCTGCTCCTCGCGTGAATCCAAGGTCGCGGCAACCGCCGCACTGGGTTGGGTGGAGACGAGTGAGGACGGGGCGAGCACGGGGGAGGGAGGCAGACGGTCCTTGGCCGACAGCACCAGGACGCGGGGCACCTCGAGCCCCGCGGGCCCCTCCCCGCCGGGGGGGGCGACGGGGGGGGGCACCCAGGGATATGGTCGCTGGACAGGAGCACGCGGGATCCTTCACAGCCAGTGCGGCGCCACGACGCGGGGCCGCAGCGGCTGCTGCGGGGAGACGACCAGCCACTTTTTGTTTGCCCTTCCTGGGTGCGTGGGTGTCCGGGTGGCCCTTTGCCGCGCGGTGACCCCTGCTCGCTCCGCCGCTTCGACTCGGGCGCCGCTGCCGCAGCCGAACCCAGTCGACGCCAAGGCCCAGCGCGTCGCTGACGGCCCGTACGTCGCACTTGCGGCTGCGGAAGGAGTCCGGGAAGCGAAGGCAGGTTTGCGGGTCGCGCCGAAGCGGGTCAAGCGCGCCTTTGCTGCCAGGCACGGCCTGCTGCTTGGCGAAAGCGTGCCGGGTGCCTGTGAACATGGCCCCCAGGGTGACTTGGAGCCGCCTAATCGCCTCGCCGGGTGTCTCCCCTGGAAGGCCCCACTGGATGTTGTCGATCTTTGCCTTGCACAGCTGCTGCCCCGTGTCGGGGTCCGAGGGCCCCGGCCATTGGCGCGGCTCTGGCCGCTGGCGCTGCCGCGTGTTCTGGCCGCAGGTCTCCGGCGAACCGGCCCCGCTGTCCTGGCCAGAGGGCTCGCAATCTGCTCGCGACAGTTCGGACGCCTGGCGGGGCCCTGCGGGGAGATGCGGGCCACGTGGTTGGCCGCCAGGCAGGGGCCAGATCGCCTCTGGCAGCTCGGGCGGACGTTGCCCTGCCGCGCGCGGGGAGAGGCCCCTTTCGCTGGCATTCGCCTTCGGGCCTGCGCCCGCCGTCGC